CCATGATCCAATAGATTTGTACAGACTCTTGTTGGCAGCAGCTCCCCATTGGCTCCACTTCAAAGCAGGGGCAGCCAGGCTCCTCCAGGTGTCAGAAGCAGCTGGCATGTTAGCAAAAAGCCTCTGGAAGGAAGGGGTATTGAGCCAACTGCCATCAACTGGAAAACAGCACAATGGATGACCTCGTCTCCAAGAAGATTCCTCTTCAGTCCTCCGGGGATGGTGATGAGTTTGAGTTCAGGATGAAAGAACTGTCTCTGGGGATGTAGGGCCTACAACCTGGGGTAGTCCTGTCACCAAAGGCAAACACAGACGAGTAGCTTCCTGCCTGCTCCCACAGTTCTGCCGAGATTCCAAAGCAAGACACAGATGCCCAGAACTTTCATGCGTCAGAGCATTCATTTGGAGATGGACAGTACATCATGTGATGTTTTGTTTTGTTTTGTATTTTTGTGACCGGCTGCACTGTGCTCAGCCAGTGAGCGCATTGCATCGGTCATCCCTATACAGGATCCGAACCCGCGGCGGGAGCACTGCTGCACTCCCAGCGCCACACTCTCCTGAGTGCGCCATGGGCTCGGCCCAGCATGTGATGTTTTTAAAAGCACCTTTCTGTAAGTCTTTCAGAATCTTCTGCAGCCACAGTCCTCTAAACAATGAACTTTTCCCCACTAGAACCAACATTTACAGGAGAAGCCGTTAGGTCTGCCCATCCTTGGGGGACAGCACTCTGTCAGAGCTGGAAGAAGTCTTTTGGGAAGTATGGGCCTTCAAGCTTCTGCTTAAACATCTCCAGCAATGAGCAACTCACTCTTTCACAAAGTAGCCACAATCATCCCAGAGCTAGGCAGCTTGAAAAAGTCTTCCAGAGCCAAACTCTAGATCCCTGTGACATTTTCTTCAGAGGCAGCCCTTCAAGAGTTGGGTCTCAGCCCTCATTTCCTCCCTAGTCTTCTCTTCCAAGCTAAAGGATCTAAATGCATCCACTTGTCCGATATTATGGTTTTTAGACTCTCCACCACTCTGACTCCCTTCTCCATGACTCTAGTTTATTCCTCTTAAATGAACTGTGCAGAGCTGAATGTAGTATCCAGGTGTCAGATGGGCAGGGAAAAAGAAAAGCACACTGTGGCCTCTCTTACTCATTTGTTTATGCATTCCTTCATTCAACAAATATTTACTGAGTGTCTGCTAGGTGCCAGGCACCATGCTGGACCATGGAGTTAAGCAATAAGCAGGGAGATAGAAGTGTTGCTTGGTGGCTCTTATAGTCCTGAGGCAAAGACAGACATGAACAGCATGAGGAGGTTGCAGAGAACTGTGGAAGCCAGTAGCAGCCTACCCTAGTCTGGGTTAGGGAAAGCTTCCCCAAGAGGTGCTAGATAGGCTGCAACCTGAAGAGTGAGTAGGCAACAGGTAGGTAAGGAGAGGGACATGGGGAGCATTATAGATAGAGGGACTGGCTTGTTTGAGGGCATTGAGAAGGACTAAAGGATCAGGGTGGCTGGAATATAGTGAAGGAGGCTGAGTCTGGAGAGGTGAGGGGAGGCAGAGGGTGAACCCTATGGGGTCATAGCCAGGATAAGAATGGGGGACTCTGTTTCAAGAGCAATGGGAACAGAATGGTAAAATAGTCAAATTTGTATTTTAAAAAGAGTTTTCTAGGGCCGGCCCATGGCTCACTTGGGAGAGTGCGGTGCTGGTAACACCAAGGCCATAGGTTCGGATCCCTATATAGGGATGGCCGGTTAGCTCACTGGGTGAGCGTGGTGCTGACAACACCAAGTCAAGGGTTAAGATCCCCTTACCGGTCATCTTTTAAAAATAAATAAATAAATAAAAAGAGTTTTCTGACGACAGTATGGATACTGAATTAGGAAGGGGCAAGAGTAGTTCCAGGGAAACAGTGTAGGAGCCATGAAATTGTCCACAAAAGAGGCGGAGGCTGAGTGTGGGATGGCAGCTGTGGAAGTGGAAAGGAGTAGAAGGAATCACGAGAAATTTCAGCAATAGGATTAATAGAACTTGGTGACTGATTTGGGGTAGGCGAGGAAGGGAGTTTCCAGGATGTCTAGGATGTCTCCCAGGTGGCTGAGCAGAGTAGTGAGTGGTGTTGCTATTAACGAAAGCTGAGATCTAATTGGCTTTTTGGCAGCCAGTTCACTGCTAGCAATTGAGAAAACCCCTCGGTCCTTTTCACACATACTGCTGGGATCCAGCCACATTTCCCTCAAAGAGAAAGCCCCTGTTGCAGTCTGCCTCCCTCAACTCACCTGCTGGTCCCTCCTGCCCAGTGTAAGTTGCCAGCCAAGTAGCAGGGGCAAGTCCAGAGCACATGCAGGGCTGCTCTGCCCCACAGAGACTCCCACCCCTCTACAGTTGTGCTCTCACTTCCACAGTTACCCATCTTCAAAGAGGCTGCTAAGGTTCAAAGTCAAGAGCAGTCCCTAACAGAAAGCTGCGGGTCAGTTCTGAGGCTGGAAAGGTGTGCCCTGTTTGCAGGTTATAGTCCTGTCTCTGGCTGAAAGAGGAAGGTGCTCATGGCAATCTGCTTCAAAGACTCGGGGAGGCAGGTCCTGTCCAAGGAGCATGTTGATCAGTGAGAATTACAAGTGGCGGTAACTTCTGGAATTAGAAAGTGGTGATGGTTACACAGTTTTGTGAATATACTAAAAAATATAGAATTGTACAGTTTTAAAGAGTATCCAGACAAATGGATATGTTAAAAAATAAATAAAAATAAAAGGTGAATTTTATGGTATTTTATTACAATATAAATAAATGAATAAAGAGATAAATAGATAAATGGCAGTAACAGCTATAAACAGGAACATTGGGTTCCAGGTTGTTGATAAATAAGAGAAGCCATGTAACATCTTGAAAGGCTTTGTCTCCCCTTGGTGGTTTCCTCCTTGGAGATGTTCTCAGCTTAATGCTGTTCCCTAGTAATTAACTTTAGGCCATTGGGGTTCTTGGTTGTCCTGGGAGTTGGGTGGAAAGGAAACGTCACTGGCTTCTCTTCTCCAGGGCCTTTTTCTTTTCTGCTGAGCATGGGAAGGAAAAACTTTTGAGGTGTTGGTGGCTCTTGCTCCTTGAACACTCCTGGGAGAGCTCTCTTCCTCTGTAGTTTGGGTGTCTTTGTTAATGACAGTCCCCTCTACCTGCCCCCTCTCTTCACCGTCCCCATTATATGTCAGATTCTGGGCTATGTATTCTCTCTCTTCCTTTTGCCTGCCTGGGTGCTCCTTGGGTTGTGAAAAATAGGTGTAGTGCCTCTGAAGGCACTTGCTGTATGGCGCTGCACTTAGTCCCTTGAGCCAATGATGGAGGGACTAGGGCTCCCTCCTGTGGCTGTGGGCGGCATTGCTTCTACCCACCCTCTGGCCTTAAATTTTTTTCAGCTGAAATTTTAATTTTGAACTCTGGTAGTGGAGGCAGCTTTCTTTCTCCCCACGAAATACATGAGAAATAGTTAAAGCCCTAAGAAAGAAGAGAAATTAGCCACAGAAACTAAGAAAGAAAATGTTTCTATTCTGTATTTTTTATTTTAAAAGAGGCAGGGTGATCCCCATACTGGCCAGCCACCAAAATAAATAAATAAAAGAGGTAGTGTGACCAAATGGAACGTACCTGGCCTATGGGGTCAAACAGACACACAAGGAGTGTGTATGACTTTGGCAAGTTAACTTCTCTGAGACTTAGATTCTCCACCTATAAAATGGAAATAATAACAAGACCTACCTCATAGGATTGTTGTGGGAGAAAGTTTAATTAATGTAGTTAAATACCTTGTAAAGTACCTGCCATGAAATATGGTACTCAGTAAATGGTACCTGTTTCTATTGTCATTATTACAACTAAAAACCAGATAGGAACCATTTTCTCTCTTCAGGGACATCTGAAGCCAGGGCCAGCTGCCTTGCACAGTTCCAGGGGCAGAGGCCCCACTAACATCATACTCTCTTTAAGCCCCTTCCCCAGAGGTGAGCAATGCACGCATTCTCTGGTGCTGATCCAGTTGCCAGTTTGGGGACTCTCTGACACAGAGAGATGGAGAGAGATTTAGAAAACTACATGACAGAGCAAAATAAAACCTTTAAAAAACAAAAAGAAAGATAAAGCCACAAGGGCTAAGTCAGAAACAGATTGGGGAGGCGGGGGCAGCAGCACTCCACTAGATGAGTTTGGCACCCTGCCTGGCACACAATGGGAACCAGCAAGTGCTAATTTTCTTCTCTTCCTGTCCCCTCAAAGGAGGCCCTCAGCCGAGTATGAACATGGCTTTAGTCGATCCCTTTACTAGTCAAATGGCTTTCTTCCTGTGAGGTGGGTGCCCAGTGGGAGGGACTGGAGACATGAAAATCCAGGAGGTGGTCAACTTGTAGGAGTGGACAGCAAGGAGCAGTGGCCACCACAGCGTCACAGGGTGGAGTGTGTTCTTTGGCCCTCACAAGTGCAGAGTCCCCAAGTTCTTAGCTCTCTCCCCTTGTCTGCCACCTGTGTTCCAGGGTGGAGGTTCCTGTAGATGTTCTGGCCATTTGGTAGCTTGTTAAATCTCAGTACCACTTGCCAAGACCCCTTTAAACTTCTTGGCTGTTCTTCTTGCCTTTTCTGATCAGCTGTATTTATTCTGAACTAAATGGTCCTCACAGCAGAATGAAAGGATTTACAGCTTAAGAATATGAAAAGAAATCCTGGCTGCATTACAATTGCATCCTCTTCTTGCTGCCCCCCTCCCCCCACCCCCGCTCCCTCCCTAGGCTCCATCCACTAGCTGGTGCCACTGAAACTGAACTGGGAACCTGCTCTTGGTACAGTGTGGTCAGTTCAGCCTGGCAACAGAGTCCAATTGACAAGGAAGAAGTGAGGTGACTGGGCAGAGCTTGTTTTGGGGAGCCCTCTCCCAAACGTCTTGCTGCCCCAGGTGAGACTGGGGGCTTGTGCACACATAATCTCTCTCTCACACACACCCACCTTCTCCCTCTCTCTTTCCCCTTCAGGATTGTGCTCATGGACGATGCCATGGACTGCTTGATGTCTTTTTCAGATTTCCTTTTTGCCTTCCAAATCCAGTTTTACTACTCAGGTGAGTGTGTTCCAGGGCCCCTCTGTGGCCCTATCCAGGGCCATATCTCCCTCTCCCACCCCATTGCCTTTTCCATCTGTGTGCTTGGCACACACATTTCTCTTCCCCACTTCCTCTAGGGTTATCTTCACTGCAGGTCACTAACAGGATGTCTAGTTCTCACTGAGATTTGTTCTCACAAATCTCAATCTGCAGAGTCTATTTCCTCAGCCCTCTGAAAACACTGAAAACCACACAGCTTCCTGTCAGCAGCACAACAAATCAGTTCCGGTGATAACGACAACAGCATCATCAATAGCATTCACTACTTACTGAAAACTTACTATGTCCCAGGCATAGCACTAAAGACTTTAATCCTTACACCATCCCTAAGAAATAGGTCCTTTAAGAGATAAGCTCGCAGAGGTAAGTTGCTAAAGTCACACAGCTAATAAGTGGTGGAGCCTAGACTTGAACAGAAGGCTGACTCCAAAGTCAGTGCTCTTAGCAGCTCTACTACATTACTACAGTCAGAGGTCTCACCTTTGGTCCTTGATCACATGTGTGGGCACATATTCTCCCATCCACACAGTTTTTAATAAGCACACACCAGTCCTCTCTCTCACTCCCACCCTGTTCCCAGTTCACACCAGCTGTACCCTTAAATCCCTTCTGGAATCAGGTAGAAGAAAAATAGATGAATAAACACAAATGTACACCAGCTCATACACAAGTGGCACCAAATGGAATGTTGGGTTTAGAAATTGCTGACTATATCCATAAACAAACTTGTTTAAAACAGGCTCTTCCAGTAAACAGAAGGCTGTCCTTGGAGCCTGGAGATGGCCTTCCTGCCAACCGGTGGCCCCAGCCAGCCCTGGCCTCACTTAGGTGCCACATTCTATTTACTTGATGGCAGCCTGTTCAGGCAGGGACTGGAACCTGGGGTGTCACCACCTGCTCTTAGCAGTACCAGGCATCTACTTCCCATTTCTCTGAAGCTCTTGGACCCTAGAGAAGAAGCAGCCATGTTTGGGAGAATCTTTTCCCCTCACTGCCTCCCTGAGCCCTCTTCTCACAGCACTATCTGAAGGACAGGGCAGCTGCACTGGGCCACAAGCATCATGACACTGCACAGCAGTGTGTGTTAGTCAGCGGTGAGATGGGCCATAAGTCATTGGTTACTGACAGTGGCTCAACTACAAAAATGTTTAAACCATTTCAAATGATTAATAAAATAGCAACTTGCAGGCTTTCTCTGTTCCTCACTGGTATTCCAACGTGCTTTCTTGAGTTAGAGAGGCAGGTGGCCTCACAAGATGGAGCTTACCATCACATATTCACTCTTTCAAAACACATTTATAGCATTCAGTATGGCCAAGCACAGAGCTAGGTGCTGGGAAGGAGGGGTCAACAAGGCATGACCCCTGCCTTTGAACAAGAATCTTACATTCCAGCAAGGAGACAGATTAAACAAATAATTACACAGAAAACTTGTCATTGGATATGTGCCACAAAAAAGAATAGGGTGCTATGAAAGTATGCGATGGGGGAATCTCACCTAGTCTAGGAACACCTGCCCAAAGGACCGGACTTCGGAAATGAAACACACACAGGGTACTTCAAAAAGTTCCTGGGAGGGGCCGGCCCGGTGGTGCACTGCTACAGTGCGCCGCTTGGGAAGCGCGGCGGCGCTCCCGCTGAGGGTTCAGATCCCACATACAGACCAGTTCCCGCTCACTGGCTGAGCGAGGTGCGGGTGCGACACCAAGGGTTGCGATCCCGTTGCCGGTCCCGGTCCGGTACGGGCGTG